GGGAGCTGTCCCCCCCGCCCCGATGGCCCCTCCCCCCACCAGAGAGCCCGAGTCGGCCGCCTCTGCGGTGCCCCGTGTGCCTATTCGGCAGGCGGGCAGGGCACCCCAGTTCTCAGTCAACGGTCAGCTGCTCTGAGTTAACCACTTCTCAGTCAATGGTTAACTGCTCCTAGTTAGCTAGTCCTCAGTTAATGCTTAACTACTCCTAGTTAGCTAGTTCTCAATGTTTAACTGCTCCAAGTTAGCTAGTTCTCGGTCAACGGCTAACTGCTCCGAGGTCGCCAGCCCACAGCACAGGCGTGGCCACGGCAGCCCCACCTCACGCTCCCCTCCCTCTGCTCACAGATGGGCATGCGGCCCTCACTCTTCCTTCCGGCTGGGCTCACTCCATCTGCGTCCCTTTATGGGGGGACTGGCCCCAAACAGAAAACCAAAACCCCATACCCAGGGAATGTGCAGCGGGAAGGGAAGGGACCGGCTGCAGTAACCCTGCAGAGACGGGGACTCCCGCGCTGAAAGAGAGACCCTATGAGTGTGGTCTCTGGTCCATTTTCAACGAGCTCTCCTCGGCATCCTCACCAGCAATCCTCTGCCTCACTCCAAACCCTTCACGGTGGACGGAACAGGCCCGCGGCCACTCTCACAGGACCTCCCCGGAACCTGCCCCCAGCTCCCGTCTGCAGCGTCCACCGCTCCAACCTCGCCACCCCTGCCCCTGGGCTGAGACTCAAGGGTATAGGTCCAGCCTCCTCCCAGTGTCGCCAAGAGCAGAGGCCTGGAGTTCCGTTACCTTCCTGCACTCCCTCACCTGCAAACCACCAGGACGCCCGCACTGTGGGACTGGGAACACAGTCGTGCTCAGAGGCCAGCCCCACCGGAGCCGTCTGCTGCAGCTGACAGCAACAGGCTTCAGGGGGCCTGGCCAGCCCCAAGGTGGGCTCCTGGGAACGCGTCCGTGGGACCTCTAAAGAAAACGCAATGAGCTGCAACAACAGAACAGCCCACTGCGTTACTTTACATGGGACAACTTCACTGAATCTGCTCCGCAAACACACTCCGCCCCCCCCACCCCGTGAACAACTGTACGCGCTGCCGACCCTGCCGGGGGCTTATGGTCGCAAGCTGCCCCGCTGTCACCAGGGGCAACCACGTTCGGCTCTGAGCACAGCTGTGACTTTTCAATCTCTACAGGATGATGTGTTACTGTCCATTAGACATTTAGTTAAAAAAGACAGAACTCAAGGTCTCTGCGAATTACGGGTGTAAGTTATGAACAGAGAGGAAAGCAGGAAAAGCTTGCAAATTAGGAATTAACTGCCTGTCGCTGGGAAGTCAATGCATTATTTCGTTACCCAGATATTAAGTCTAATGCTAATAAGAAAGTGTAATGTTATGGGTCCTCTGCTTTTAGATGAGTTTTTAAATTTTGTTTTTAGATTAAAGTTACTGGGGTGACATTGGTTAATAAAATCACATGCGTTTCCAGTGAATGGTTCTCTGATGCCTTATCTGTAGAGTACACGGTGTGCCCACCACCCGAAGTCAGACCTTGCCCCACCACCAGACATCTGACCGCACTTACCCTTCACCCCACACCCCACCCCCGGTCACCACCACATGGTTCTGTGTGTCTGCGGGTTGTCTTTCTTGTTTGTTCCTTTTTTGCTTTCAGTTTCCTATCTCACATGAGTGAAATCGTATGCTTCTTAGCTTTCTCTGACTTACTTCGCTCAGCAAGACATGCTCAAGGTCCACCCACGCTGTCACCAACGGCAGCATTTCACCTTCTCTAGCGGCTGAGCAGCGTTGACTGTGCATGAGCACCATGTCTCCTCTGTCCAGCCCTCTGACAGGGGACACTGGGGTCGCCTCCATGTCTCGGCCTCCGTGAACAAAGCCGCAATAAACACGGGGGTGCATGTGTCTTTTTGCAAATACACGTTTTCAAGTGTTTCGGGTAGATGCCCAGGAGAGGGGTTGCTGGGTCGTAGGGTAACTTTGTTCTTAACTGTTTGAGGCACCTCCGCCCTGTTTCCCACAGTGGCTGCACTGGTCTGCATTCCCACCGCAGAGGAGGCGGCTCCCTTTCCCCCACCCCCACAACCTCTCCCACACCTGCCATCCATTGTCTTGTTGATGACAGCCACGAGGTGGTGTCTCCGTGCAGTTCTGATGTGCATTTCCCTCATTTTCACGTATCTGCTGGCCGATTGTATGTCTTCTTTGGAGAATTGTCTGCTCAGGTTCTCTGCCCATTTTCTTAATTGGATCGTTCATTTGGTGTTGAGTTGTATGTGTTCTTTATGTATATTTTTTATATTAACCCCTTGTCAGAGCTGTTGTTTGCAAGTATCTTCTTCCCTTTGGTTGGTTGCTTTTGTTTTGTTGGCTTTTTTTTCCTGTGCAGAAGCTTTTTAGATGGATCTAGTCCCATTCATTTATTTTTGCCTTTACTTCCCTTGCTTTTGAGGTCAAATTCATAAAATCCTCTCTGAGACCAAGGTCCATACGTTTAGTGCCTATGTTTTCTTCTATGTAATTTATTGTTTCAGGTCTTCTACTTAAGTCTTCGATCTATTTCAAGTTAGTTTTTGCACATGGAGACAAACAGTAGTGTAGCTTCATTCCTTTGCACGCGGCTCTCCGGTTTTCCCAGCACCATCTATGGAAGAGGCTTTTTTCCCCGTGGTGTGGTTTTCACTCCTTTGGCGAAAATCATTTGCCCGTACACATGTGGGTTTATTTCTGGGCTCTCAGTTCTGTTCCATTGGCATCAGTCTTTTTACATGCCTGCAGGTGGAGAATCTCTTCGGCTAGACTGATGCCACGACTGTATTTTAGGTGTAAATGACCGATTGCAGCGTGCCACATGTATACACTCAGAACGCCAACCCTCTTACCCAGAGGAAGAAATGCAACTACCTGAGAGGGAGGGCGTCATTCCCCCTCCCCCAGCTCCGTATCACACTCCTAGTGAGAACATGTCCTTATTTCCAGTGACTTCCTCCTCCTCCACTCTGGGAGACAGGAAAGCAGGAAGATTTGCCCATTGCCGCCCAATCAGCAATTTCTAGTTTTCCGCTAGAATATTCCTTCCTTCTTTTAACGTATCTTGTTAAAGAAGTTCCGCTGCTAACTAAAACTAACCAACAGAGCTTTTTTCTGGTAGCAGTGAGTTTAACGTGACTCTGGTCACCAGTAAATGCACTGGGACTACGCATCAGGAATACTATGTAAGTACATGGACACACATACACACACATATACACAAAGAAAACTGAAAAATCACCTCGAATCTTAAAAGCAATTTCAAAAACAGCCTCAGTGGGATACTGGCACAAAGCCATTTACTCCTTGTAATTCTTCTCAGGAATTATGGGATGCCCATTAGTGCTAGAGGCATCTTTCAAAAATTACAATAAATTTTTCTCTGCATTTTTGTAATTTCCATTTCCCTACCTTAAAAGGAAATCAAAATTACCAGTCTTTACCCACAATACATGATGAAGTGCATTTCCATTTCAGTGTATATAACCACAGCCAAAAAAAAGTCAATGAATTTAAAAATGTCACCAGGGGCTCGGTCGTAACTCACGGTGCTCTCCAGCACAGACGTGAATGATTCGCCATCTGACTTGGCACCACAGTGTGAATTCATATATGGGAAATCTTATTAGCCTGTGACAGAAGGAAATTATTTTAAAAGCTATGTGTATAGGAGTGTCACAAGTATCTGAAGCCAGAAATGTATATGCGACGTTAAAATATGCATATACTACACAGACACACAGATTAGCATTGTTGAAAGACATCTGAATTGGTCACAGAGACATTTAGTCCATATGTAATGACTATATTCTTTTTAGGAAATAACTTGTAAGCTTCTTTTTATTGCTATAACACCTCTGATTAATGATTTAATGTTTTAATGATTATTTTCGTCAAGTAAGATAAGAAGCCCATTACTAACCCACCACCAAACTGAAAACGAGGGGGATGAGGAAGAGGAGGGAGGAAGCAGGGAAGGAGAGGCAGGAGGGAAGTAGGGAGGTGGGGAGGCAGGCAGACAAGCCTTTCTCAATGGTGGTAACTCACTCCTACCACGGAGTAAAATGTAACTTCTTCCCACACCCAAAAACAGTATCTCATGAGAGTCTGTAGTTACCTTATCCCTGGAACATTAGAAAAGATAGAAGAAATGACCAGGAATAAAATTTGTTTATCACAATGATTAAAAACTTCTCAACGTACCCCCAAATCGGAGGGGACTGGCTTCTGTCTCCCTGAGAAACCACCTTATTGTTACTAACAGCAAAGGCTGGGGCTTTGCTTACATGGAAGTGGGGGTGGCGGACCAGACTAGGGTGGGCTATGGGGGCCTTGCCCACCAGGCTACAGCAGTCTGAAGGTGGAAATGTACACGCAAGCAGTTAACAAACCACAAAGCAACACACACACATTATTATTATTAACGGCAATGATTAATAATAATACCATTCATGTTTTTAATGCTGATTAGTTTGATCCTTGTACCCAATATGCAACTACAGGAAATGAAAACCAACAAATCAGGTGTCAACTACAGCTGTGCCTTGCGCAAGAGCTTTAATAAGAAAACCATCAGCTCTGAGATTCTACTCTGCAGGGCCTGGCTGCGGGCTCCCTGAGGCCGGGGCACCCTCAGCTCTTGGAGGAGAAAATGCAGCTCAGTAAATGTTTTCTTTTGTCAAGTCTGGAATTACACACTTATTCCAAAACCTTAAAGAAATTATATTCCCCTTTTCCTTAGAACTGACCATACTGCTTTAAGACACTTTTTTTAATTTCATTGCAATAGAGCAATTTAAACTAAAATTTTATACGACTTATTTAATATTATTCCTTTAGAAAGACTGAGGTGAAAAAGGATGTACAAAGTTGTACATCTATTCAGTGGGTACAGACACATGGCAAATAAAATCTTTACTGAAACATGGTTATTTGAAGAAGTCTGATGTTACCTCTGGCACTCCTAATTTTCGGCACGCTTCCAAAAAGTTTTCCACATTTCTTCTGCATTTGGCCATGCTGAGCTTTGGCTGTAATGCAAATATGCAGAAATAATGAATTACTAAAATCATAATTTTAATAATACATTAAAATTTACACTTTCTAAATGGTGCAAGAAATACACGTTTTACTGAAGAAAAAATATACAAGCACGTAAAAACTTACCTATCCAGAAATATCCACCTAGAGATAAAAATTAGTATTGTTCTGGGTTACATTTTTCCCGACATTGTATGCATACGTTTGTGTCCGCTCCATAGAACCCCGAAGATGCTCAACACCACTCCAAATACTGAGGTCAGCCCAGCAGAGTCGGTGCAAGTGTGTGTCCTGCTCCATGAAGGCCACTTCCCACCCTTGGAAGGCGAGGGAGGGCCCACACTAAGGTCCCTGCCTACTTCCCGTGACAGGAGTGCTTGCTGCAAACACAGGAGTTCAAAGAATCAGCGATCACACGCGTCACACCAACCGGGAGAGGCCCGTGGTTAGTCACCAAACTGTCCACGACCGAGGAAGCCCACTTTAAGGGACTCTTAGCACACTGACAGTGACAACAACTCTACTGCGCACTGCGTCCCTCAGCTTGGCATGGAAAATGGACGCCACCGGTCTCGTGAATGAAAGATGAGCAAGGTTAACGCTGGCAGTTGCCCGGGTACAAAGGTGCCCCCGTCCGCTCTTCTCAAGCGGTCACCACGCCTCAGGGTCTTCGCCTGGTGCTGAGACGCACCTGTGACACCGAGAGACACCAAGCTCATGGTCGCTCAGTTCGGGTCCAGCTTGAGATGTTAACAAGTCCAAGAAAAGTCAAGTACAGTGTGGCATCGGTCATATCTGGCAGTGGGGCTGGGGGTTGGAGGCTGTTACTAGGAGGGGAAAGAAAAGAACCCAAGTGCTAAGGAGACCAGGGAGCAGAGGGGACAGCCCACCAGGCCACCAGGGGCCTGGGCTAGTCAAAGAGGCTCCCGGGTGCTTGCCGAAGAATTTTCCGCAAGTGGATGTTTAGCGACAGCCTGCATTTCTACAATATGTTACACTCTAAAATGTGTGACTGCATTATGCTACACTAAATACGGGTATCTCGGAAGAATTTTAGTGACATGGGGAAATACTTAGGTTTTAATAACACATTTTACAAACTACTAATTAATAGATACCAGACGCTCACAATTGAAAGCCAACTTAAACACAGGCAGAATGCTAATGGTGCGGTAGCTGAAGTGTTAACGAACAGTGATTGTCTTCGGGCAGTGGGATAAGGAATGATTTTTTTTTTCCTTTCTGATTTCTGTATTTTCTGTTTTCTGCCCAATAAGGCATTATTTCTCATTATATTTTCATATAAAAATTTACTTGAAGAAAAAGGGTGAAAACCAGAGGACTTCAAACACAACGTAGCATTTTTCCTGAAGAATAATTAAAATACACACATGTATACAGATACATGATTCATAGCATCCTCTTACACCTTATAAAATAACCGTGCATTTAAATTGGAAGTTGGGGACTCATAGTTTCTTCCTTATAATTTGGGGAAAACTGTCGCACGAGATTTCGGCACGCAGCTCAGGCGTCATTACGGCAGTATGCATCCCATCTGTAAAACACGCCAGGGAGCTGCACAGGGTTAGAGGACAAATTCCTGGCCGGACCTGAGGGAGGCAGCTAGAGCTGGACGGGAAAGAGAAGACAAGCTGCTCTTCCTCCCTTTAGGTTTCCTGAAGCAAAACGCGGTCAAACTTTCCAAAGGAAAAACGTGTTCCTTAGTATAAAAGGGAAACTGGCCGCTGAAATGGGATCATCAGATCAGGGGAGAAAAAAAGAAATTAGGACCAACACCGCCAGGTGGGGGCGCCCTGGAGGCGGGGAAGGAGCGGGCAGGCCACCAGGCCGGCCCCTCGCATTTCCCATCCCATCCAATCAGGAGCGGGGTGCCTTGAGATCGCGGGCTCTGAACCGTGAAACTCCGCTCCGTAAGCACCGCTGGTAAGAATAGTTGCCTTCCTGCGCCCATCCTCTGGGTTGCCTTATCTCATCCTCACAAGAACAGAACCAGGGTAAGGAGAAGCAGATCGAGGTGAAGAGTGGTTAAGTAACTCCCGAAGACACACACTAGACTAAAAATTCTTGTCTTTTCTTTGTTTGTCTGAACGCTGCATAGGCGTCAAAGACAAGTTCACCCCTGACTCCCCCACCCGCAGCCGCGGGACCATATACAAGCGACTTCGTAGCCCTCCTCCGGATGGTGACGTACAGGGGGCGGGGCCACAGGCCAGCTCTACGTCCCCTACAGAGGGGGCAGGGTGTGTAGGACAGCAAGGGGTCCCACTCCCCCTCACACTCCCCATGCCGCCTGGGCCAGCAGTGCACCTCTGAGCCCGTGAATGGCCCAGGAGTCGCTGGCTGCACGACTGGCTGATCAACCTCCGGCCTGACGGGTTACTAATGCCCTTTTACACGGAACCCGCACCTTTTCGGAGCTTTCCAATGACACCCCCAATAACTAACCAAGGAAAGAGACCCCGTTTGGAAGAGAAGCTGCCAACCAAAAAACAAATAAGCTTTCCCACAGCCTTCTCACCGTGTGAATAACCCTTTGTGAGAAATGAGTCTTCGTGCCCCCGAAGTTTTAAAGTTAACCCAACCAGGGATCTCCTAGATAGGATTTGCCTTGTGTTTGAAATAAATTCCTTTCTGTTATTTGCATATTTAAATAGCGTCCCTTTTGACAGTGAAAACGTTTCTTCCTTCAGGCCCTTTCCTTTCTGCTCTCCTAGTGTTTGGGGGCCCACCCAGCAGAGGAGATCTTGGGGAGCCCACTGGCCATTTCAGCCAGCAACCCCGTCCCCAAAGAGTCGGTTTCACGGGAGCATTAGTTTACGTGGTGTCACTTACCACCGCTGGGGAGGGCACGTGGATGCTGGCGACGGATCGCGGGCGGATGTGATTGACCAGGTGGCAGAGGACGACGCCGTCCAGGAGCGCGGCCCCCAGGTCCTCGTGCAGGCTGACCTTGAGTCTCATCTCGATGCTCTGTGGGGGGTCAGAAGGGTGCTGTTTTCGACAAGGGGCCCCGCACACCGTCCTGCCCGGGGTGCAGAGGGCTGTACCAGCTAGGCTTGTGTGAGCGCGCTGCGAGACGTGTGCACGCAACCATGGAACCGCCTCCATCACGTGCAGTAGCAACAATGGAACCGCCTCCATCACGTGCGCACGCAACAGTGGAACCGCCTCCGTCACGTGCGCACGCAGCAGAGGCCCGGCCTCCGTCACGTGCGCACACAACAGTGGAACCGCCTTTGTCACAGGCGCACGCAACAGCGGAATCGCCTGGCGGCTCCAGTCCCAGAACGCGTCCCCACCGCGCAGCCGCGCGTGACTGCGTAGGAGAGGCTGGCAATTCGAAAGCAGCTGACATGGGGCTGGCGGGAGCCAAAACGTTGGCAGTGGCTGTCTCTGGGCGGCGGGATAAAAAATGATTCATCTTCCTACTGCACTCCTCTATCTTCTCTTTTCCTCCAATCAGGATTATTGCCTGGTTTATTTTCAATTAGAAACGTATTTTTAAAAAGGAAAAAGGTAGCCACCCAAGGATTTCTAAAAGAATGTAGCGTTTTTCCCTGAAGAATTAATAAAATCCACAACTGTGAACAAGTACATGACTCAATGTGCCCTTACACCTTATAAATTAATTGTGTATTCAAATTAGAGGCCAAGAGGTCAGAGTTTTTCTTTTGTAATTTCGGGAAAATGATGAAAGGAGAATTTGGCACACAGCTCCAACACCATGGTGCTACTCCAACACCACGAGAGCAGCCGGCATCCGGTCCGTACAAAATACTGGCAGTTTTGCACTGTTAAAGGGTAAAATTCCCTGCCTGACCCAAGGCAGGAGAGGCAGGTTTAAAAATGAGGACAAACTGTTCTTTCCCCTCCCTGTGTTTCTAGGCAAAAAAGTGGTCAAACAACAGCCACAGTCCCTGTCATGATAGAGCTTAAAATCCTCAGTGTCATCCAGCAAGAGACTTCATTCTTGGTGGGAACTCAAATAGTTGGGTAAGTGACTGATTAAAAAGTTCCCGCCAGTCTGGCGTAACTATAAACATCTTTAAATGAATGGAACACTGTTATTAAGTAAATGAATAATGGTGCGTTATTATAAGTGTGCCTGAATTGAAATAATGCTAGCTTTATACATATATACACACACACACACATATATGCATTAGGTAGTTCTACTTATATTACCTCATGTATTACAAAACCACACTGAGGGAGATTGGAACTGGGTTTTTTTTTAAATACTTTAAAAAACTTATACTCAGGAATGTGCAGTGACCTGTCCATTATCAAACAGTGAGGAGGCGACCTGGCTGGATTGGAAACCCAGTGTGGCTGCCGTGCCTCAAAGCCTAGTTAGTAAAAATCGAGTGGACCCTTGGCCAGCACAGCTTTGAATGGCACGGACCCCCTTGTACATGGGGTTTTTTTTTCCTGGTAAATACATACAGTTCTGTAAGTGTATTTTCTTTAGTTTACTTTGTAGTGAGAACACAGCACATAACACACCTAACAGATTAAATGCATGTTAATCAACTGTTGATGTTATCCGCAATGCTTCTTTAAGTAGCTACATGTTTTGGAGAGTCAAAAGTTGCACTCAGATTTTGGACTGCTGTGGGTGAGGGAAGAGTGCAGCGAGGCGGGGGGGGGGTTGGGGGGGCGGGGGCGGGGGGGCTGATGCGCCCCCAACCACCGCGCCGTTCAGAGCCAACCCCACAGAATGCTGCTTCGGTCCTGGACATTCCATTCAGGGATGTAACATTTGCTGGGTACCTCACGGAGTTGTTCCACCAGCTCCTTTTCTTCTCGCATTTGCTCCATCTTCCTCCGAATTGTAAACTGTGGGTCTATAGACTCCAAATTCCTCTGAGGTCTCATAAACACTGCAACAGAAAGGGGGAAAGGCCTTTACGGAGTGCCCGGTTGAGGCTGCTGTAACACTATTCAGATTCAGATGAAGCCAAGGGTTCCTTCCTTCATCCCAAATCACCCACGGACCCCGCACCGAAACACGGGGAAGTGTGACCTCGCATGAAAGCGTGACTCAAACGTTCCAAAGAAGCCTGCATGTTATAATTATGCTGGGTTGTGCGGACTAACACAAGCTGTGTTTTTGGTGACAATAAACTGAATCCAGGAAGAGTTCGCATCATCCTTGCAACCATCCCAGGCCACCTCTTGGGGTGGGGTCCCTCCTCTCCCCTTTCTGCAATGCATTCATTCTAACTTCTCATCTATGCCCGAGGTTTCACGGTCTATTCATTAAACTCAGACAATCTGCTTCCAGTGAGAAGTCTCTGGAACGGCTTTACCTACGTAACACAGGCACAGGTTAATGTCTGTTGGCTGCAAGTTTTCGAAAGCTTAGGGTAAGAACTGTTGATCCACAGGGTTACACACGGCTGCCTGTGGAGTGGGAAAATTCTGCCTTCCGCCACGTCACTGGCAGCGTAGCCAGAACGTCAGCTCTCCGGAGAGGACCAGAGACTCCTTCCAGAGAACTTGGCAAGATGAGAGGCACTTAGGAGATCGTCCTTGGCTTCAGGTCCTTAAAATTACAACTTCCAAGAATAGCCGCTAACGGCCGCGCTCCCTCTGAAAGGACTTGCGCCTCTGGCTGCAGGAGGAGGGGAAGCTCTGGACCTCAGAGGGACGTCTTTTAAAGTCTAGTAAAGAACGTAAAAAAAAAAAATCCTACACAGAGCAGAGTGATTATAACAAGTGTTTCTGATCAGTTTTTATTATGACACAAAGCGCAGGGGGCAGATTTAAACTGGAATTTCTTCCTCCCTTGAGACCTGTTATCCTGTTAAGACCAAAAGCTTCCTTCCCACACAGGAGGGGGCAAAGCGCTGGTGAGAGCTGTGTGTGGCTCCTGCGTGTGTGTGTGTGTGTGTGTGTGTGTGGAGGTGGGGAGGCGACCCCTTCAGAAAATTTTGGGATTGCAGAGAACTCCAATTTTAAAAATCAAGAGAAGGCAGAGGCTGCACTGGCATGACACAATGCAAGAAAGCTCCTCCACCACCATGTAGATCATGTAGAATAAGAAGCTTATGGAACTTTTCTTCTACTTTGACAAACATTTCCTATGGGCCACTTGAAGAGCTATTTTGACTTACCAGTATTTTTAGGTTAAATATGGTTTACAAATATACTTCAAAAAAAAAAAAAAAAACCTGCGACAGCTCCATAAAACCACTTCCTCCGTGCTCACCCAGCTGTGCCGTTTTAATCCCAGTTCGTCCCTCCGGGCCAAACCGCTGTGAGAAATGACCTGCGCTGGTGTCCCTGTCTCTGCTTCCTTTAGAAACCAGCTCTAGGCCATCTGAATCAGCACTCCGACGCTCCACGTGAGACTGAACGTGGACTCGGCTTGAGACGCCCTGGGCTCGGAGTTCATGGGGGAGGGGGGTGCTCTAAAGCACGTGGTGTTTCTTCTGGAACCCTGGGGAGCAGTCAGCCTGGGGCCTGGGCCTCTGCCTCCGGCCACCCAGGAAAGTCACAGGGAAAAGGATCCAAAGGGCTGCCACCAAGGCCTGTGAAGCAAGGCCGAACCCCACAGGAAGTGAGGCCAGTTATTTAGAAAGCACAGGCGAGACCCGCAGAGGAAGAAGGGCGGAGCGACCCTGCAGGGCCCTGCAGAAGTGAGCAGCTCACAGGGCAAACGGAAATGAAGGAAAATCTGACCACGTGGGAAATCCACAAGAAACTGTAAGTGTATTAAACTTGCCTGGACACCATATGCAACCCAACAAAAAAAATTTACCCATTTAGGCACACTGGCCAGAAGGAATATATAGTAAAATGCAAAATCTAGAAATAATACACACCCCACAAAGAAAAGAAGTCAACCAAATTTCCCTAAAGTCAAGAAACATGGACAGAACTGAGTAGTACTCAAATTAGCCAGCAAGGGGCGCTCCGATACCATTTAAACACAGCTAATGTTTTCTTTGGAGGATTTATTTTCCTTTGCCTTTTTTTTTTTCTGGGGGCAATCTTATCTAATACTGCATGTTTAATATTTTCAATATGTTTTTACTGGCAGAATTCATTCTGAATACAAAAACGATCAGGAAGTTAAATTAACTGGGAGCTTTTGCTTAAAAACACACAATTCAAGTCACAGCCCTGTGTGAGGCACGGAGATAATGCCTGGACCTCTGGGTTTTAATTTCCTGCTGTCACTTCGCATCATAAATTGCTGCATCTTAAAAAAAGACAAAACGCATGCCTGGGTATTGGCTCTAATCGTGTTAATTAATCACCACGTGTTAAAACACACTTGAACTGTGGTTTTTTAAGTGAACATTTCAAGTGTACATAAAGTGACTGGAAGCCATGGCTATACAGCTACTAGTTCTTGAAATGGACTCATTACTGTGGAATCGATGAGCCTTCGGGCTAATGATTAACCTAGAGAGCACGTAAGTGCAGGCTTATTCTGCTGGGTTTTGTTATGACACGACGATCTGAATGGGGGCCGTGAGGGTGGGTGGCTCTGATTATTCACCTGCAGATTCTCCCCTTCACGTCCCATTTAAGTAGTAAATGCAGTGATGGGCCTGGGACGAACACTCAGGAAAGTGCTCCACGGGAGAATTCTTCTGGTTTTCCCCGATCTCCTGTCACTAAGTGTCATTAAAAAGTTCCCCTTACTTAATTCAGGGGGGTCAAACTTGAACTGGAGGCTACAAGACAGTAGGAAGGGCCATAACGTCGGTATCTGGTTTTCAAATCAAAAGCCACCCTGGCGGCGTGAGTGTCAATAAGAGGAGAAAAGAGGGGCGAGAGAGCAGAGTGAACGTGTGCACGAGTGAGTGTATGTACGAGTGAGTGTGCGTGTGCACATACACATCTAAGGGGTGGGATGGGACGAGGAGGTGGGCAGGTGATTTACAACGCTGAAAAAAGATGAGTTCTGCGGAGCTGTTCAAAGACTGTCTGTCAAACAGCATCCAAAGGACGCGAAGATGCTCTGCTCTTACGTGTCAGTGACTCAGCAGGAGAGACACGTTTCTAAGCCAAGGCCCTGCAGGGAGTGTGGCTGGGCTTGGGCAGGGTGTCGGCCTCATCCTGGCAGGCACAGGACAACCCCCACGGGTTTTTCCACCGCCCCCACCCCACCCTCCTCCTCGTCCCGGACCCGGGAGTGGGCTGCCTCCAGAAACGCACCAAACGTGTCTCTCTCTCCCCCGGGACGCACTGCTCTCCCACTGCACGGGTCCGCTTCTCTCCACCAGGACGCCGTGAGGGTCTGAGTCTGCTCCCGGCCTGCACCTCTCCCCCGCCCCACAGCGCAGGTGTTGGCTGAGCAAGTGAAACAAGTGTTTCAAAAACTCCCTCTCTGCTGGGATTACCCTACTCCGGTGATGTCATCTGAGTTTTTCCTCTCGTGGAAAACCTCCTAAAACTTCAGTTTCCAGGTCTGAACACATTCAACTCTGAAATGCATGATCCATAAAAGCAGAGATCGCTGTGTTTTCCGGAGTTGTATCCATGGTAACAAGCATCATGCCTAGCGTGCAGTAACACTCAATAGGCATTTAAGAATGTGAACAAGAAACCGTTTCTCTAAGGGTAGTAAGACGATCTTTTAGTTAAGCCAAAGAAAGCACACTACTGTAAAAGTTGCCTGGGGTGATAATTATTACACAAAACGTACTCTTCATAGAGCAATCATCATCAGCCTGTATCATTAACCTTTATTACCTAAATTTAACTCAAGAGATTTCTTCGTGGTGGACACATGAGGTTTAGACACTTAGCTCTCAGTTTCTCCATGGAAGCTAAGAACCTGGACCGGGTGTGCTGCTTAAGGTAACCAAATTCAAGGGCAGACGTATGGTGGCTTTGAAAAAAACACCCTGAGCTGTAGACCCGAGCTAATGTGAGTGAGAGATCTAACTAGTGCCTCCCTTCATTCCCTTCCGGTGCTTCACAATCAACGAGATAGAGCGTCTGACCTCAAACGCTCACATTGACCCTCCACGGTCTCAGGCATGTTCCTCAACCCGGGACCCTTCTCCCACGTGGACGCCACAGAAAGACCAGTGACGAAGTAACCAGACTCCAGGTGACCCCGAGCGAGTCAGCAGGCCGAGTGCGGGGCACCGGCCGCTGCGGCTGTAAAGCACCCAGGGGACTCTGACACGCACCCAAGGCCGAGCACCAGCGAAACGCCTCGCACCGCCCAGTTCCCTTGTTTTCGGAGTAAGTGCAAGATTGCGGTACAATGTCCAGGAGGACGTCTGTACCCCGGCCCAAGACGGATAGGTGTGTTCGCTCATTCTCCAGCGATCATTCAAGATCAAGTTAAAATAAGTACGAATCAGTGCCCACCAACTCACTCACTGCCAATGAAAAAGGGCCAACGACTCCAAGGAAGATGGGACGGGGTTTAACTTCGGAGCCAAGGAGCAAGAGAGAGAGAAAGATGAGGAGGGTGCGAGAAAGAATGGAAGTGAAGTTCGCACGTTACGAACAGCTGGGAGGGAAGGAAGCCGCCCAGGTCTCCGAGGTGGACAGACACGTGTGGACAGACCTACAGGCGGACGCAACCTCCACATCCCCCCTGTCTATCTCGGGAGGCAGAGCTTTGGAGACGGTGGGAATTCAAGCTCCCAGGGACCTTGCTAGCCTGTTTGTCATTTTTAATTTTTCTTCCTTTCTTTTCTTTCTTTTTTTTTTCTTGGAGAATTTGTTCTAGAGAAAAGGGAGGGGGGATTCCAAATGAGATATTTTCGGAGTGCAATGCTGGAAAGAGATAGCTACTGCTTTACATAAGAGTCTAAATGGTACTTAAATCTTGACATGTAAATGAAAGGGGAATTTTAACGCAAAGCAAGACAGTGGCTGACTGTGCCCAAAATAATAACTAAACAAACTGCGGGCTGAGCTGCAAACAGGACGGCATTGTTGTATTTGCAGAGGTTGAGAGGGCTGCCAGTAGTAAGTCCTGGAGGAAATATGAGGAAACCCAACCGATGTGACACTCGGCTTCGAAATGCCGAGAGAGGCCACCGCACAGGAGGTCCCACTGAACCGGAACCTGGAGAGCAACGTGAGAAGGAGGCCGTTTTCTTCTTGCGACCTTACGGGTAGACCCGCGTGAGGAAGGCAGCTTCCTGAATCCTAAAAAGGTCATGGACAATGCCTTCGTATCAAGAGGCAAAGTCTGTCACAGAGAAAACAGAGATATCGAAAGGTCAGGTCTGGGGACCTGGACAAGTATTTCGTAAAAAAGATTTCTGCACAGAAAATTATCTGCTGCCCAGGGCATACGGCAGACACACTGTGCGCAGGAATCGGTGACGGCCACCAGACACCTGACGTGGCTGACCGAGCCACGTGAATGTGGAAAGCAGGCCCCTTGTAATCACCGTGGCACAGCACCGTAGCCACGCGTGAGTTCCTGACATTTTCATTCACACGACAAGTACCGAGTAAGCATCGCAGAGTTACTGTGTTTTCAGAAAGATTTCCACCGAGACTGTTCTCCGTGAGTTCCTAGGACTGTTAATGAAAAAAAAGAGGTGGTCTGCCTTCCTAATGGGCAGAGTCCTCGGCGAGCAGCTGGACACGGCAGGCAGGTGTGGTGGGCGGTGGGGCTCCCCTCCGTCTCCGCCTAGCACCCTGGCTGGACAGGCCGCCTCTCCTCTGGGGTTCAGTGGCTCATCCCAAGGAGAGAGGGTACCAGGGCGGTCTACTGTCACAGAGAAGGCGTCCAGACCTGCTCCAGCTTAAAAAACGACAAAAACGACCGAAAAAATCCTTTGGTTTCACACATCACTCCCAAGGAAATACCAAATCACACATAAATCTTTCATTCTAGGCTTCAGTTCCTTTAAACAACATCAGACCCATACATGTTTCTCTGAGAACATCCTGAAAATGTGTTTTCTGAAAAACAAGAATGTCCCTCCTTTTTTATTTTTAAGTCAAGGAACCGTTTATCAAGAAAGCTTTCACTTCCAGAATTTAAAACAGAATCGTATGTGGAGGGACTTCTGCGTTATTGCTGTTGTTTACTCCTTTTCAGTTAACAATTCAGAAAGATATGAGACAATAAAATCCCTGTTACAGCTAACCTGCTGGGATATAGGCACAGCCTCCCAGAGAAGAAAAGTGGGAACGCGGTTGTGGTTGAATTTTGACCAGAAATCACAGCAAATCTTTTAAATATGTATTTTCTATGTCTTACACATAACACACTTAAATTTTTTTAAAAAGCTACCATGGGGGGACAGATCTTCCGACTGTGTTGGCTTTGTGGTGACTGCTCACGTCCCCCTTCTCTTCCCTGTATACCGCTAATGTACACCACAACGCTCTCAACTACATGCGGTGTGTACCTCTGAATAATTCATTTCTTTTATTTTCATCTCCTGCGCTATTTAAAATAGTTAATGACGTGAAAAGGTACCAACATTAATCCCAGCTAGGTGTCCTCGATTGTCATTTGCCCATTGGATTCCCAGGCCAAGTTCCCATTCTTGGCTATTCCACAGATGAGCTGACACTCAAAAAGGTAGAAGGTATCGGAAGTCAGGATCTGTGGATAATTTGCAAAGCCACACGGAAAAAGGGGAAAGCAAGCGATTTCGTTTTTAGAAGTTTCTCAGTGGTAACATTGTTTTCAGCACACCACCCCAGGGTCGGCCACAGCCACAGCGCACACCTCTGGATTACCCAGAGCATCTCCCACGCGGTAAACACAGGTAAGACCAAACTCTCAGAGCATGTAGTTCAGCTGCAGGAGCAAGCAGAAATAAGCCAAATGCGCAAACTCCAGATTTTTGTGAACGAGCAAACAAGCCAAAAACAAAACAAAACAAAACGAAAACCCAAGCCGAGAAACTAGAGAGGACATGACTGCCAAGCTCTCCCCCGGTTCAGAACACTCAGGGTAAGTAGAGGCAGCCTGACACCTGCCGGCGCAGAACACGCGCCCTTTCCCGGACGCCCCTCCCCCGGGGCTGCTCGGCGTCTGTCTCTTCGCTCGCGCATGCGCGGGAAACACAGCTCTATCGTCAGCTGCACAGCAACGCACGTGCCTGCACGCTCATCGGCTTATTCCTAAGCACGTTGAAGGAAAGGAACAGAGCCACCTACCATTGTCACTGTCCCCTGCAGGTGGAACGCTGTAGCTAGAGCGGCCCCACGTCTGTGCCTGCGTGAGTTTGTTGAAGGAGATAGGGAGAGTGAGGCCTAGGCCGGCGGGAGGGCGGGAGCGCCGGTCCGCGTGCGCGGCCCCAGGACCGGGACAGACCGAAGGGCGGCGGCGGCGTTTCCCAGACGGCGTGGGGGTTGTATGGAAATGAGGCGGGTTTCACAGGGTGGGGGTGTGAGTTCAGATGGACAACAAGAGGAGTGAGAGATGGCGCGTGGAATAAAAAGAATGATAAAAACTGAGGGTTAGTACTCATCAGTCATATACTTTGCATGCAGTTAATATTGTTAATCTTAGCAGTGCCCCAAGCCCACGCTGCATCGCGGTAGCAGAAAGGAGTACCCACAGATTACAGATAAAAAGCGAAAGACCCACCAGACACCTTTTTCAAAGTCCTTCTAAATAACCACATTAGGAAATACTATTCACACAAACCATTTGGTTACAGAGTCCAAGCTTAATCTGCATCGCTACATCCACTATTTAAAACTATTACAGAACTGGTGTCTACTGTCGTATTTTTCCCAAGGCCATGTAAAATTTGTCTTTGAAGACTCTAAACCTACTGGCAGGCTTCATCAACAGGTGAATGTAGCCAACTCTTTCCCCAGCACCTGACCTACACCCCTCTCAGAGCTGTCTTCAGTATCTGTCAGTATAGCCCTGGCTGGTGAAGCTCAGTCAGGCCTGCAAACCCAAGGGTCGCCGGTTCGATTCCCAGTCAGGGCACATGCCTGGTTGCAGTCTGGGTCCCCAGTAGAAGGCACTTGAGAGGCAACCACACATTGATATTTCTCTCCTCTTTCTCCTTCCCTTCCCCTCTCTCTAAAAATAAATACATAAAATCTAAAAAAAAATCTGTCAGTATAAAAAATGTCTTTGGGCACTAGCAGACTCTCTTTAACAACAAACCTAATCAAGCAATAAATGTGAGTTGACTTCAGACACATCTGAGCTGGTTATTTAGGTAACAGTAGCATGGGTTTTTGCACTAAATTTCCATGTAGTACTTACATGTTCAGGAAATATGTATATGAACCATAAATGGGAAATATCACTCAGTTATAAGGCAGGGGCAGAAAATAAATGGACCTGGTTCTGGGAACCAATAGTTGGGTGTGTGCAGTTGTCTTTCTTAGGAGGAAAACTTAAGAATGCAAACAATGTTTTCTTTACCGTTAACTATATGCTTAAGAATCTGAATTCTTATTCCAACTTGCTGATGTGAGCAGTCTGTTTTTGTTTATAACACAGAAGTCACATGAACCCATGTACTGAACTTTGAAATAAAAATTAATTGGTTCTGAAAAGTTCCAAAGCTACTCCATCAAAGTGGATTTCTATCTTTTTAAATCATGTCATCTTCAATTAAGATTACTGTATGTATTGTTTTCTAGAAAATGTGAAAAATACATACTGTAATACGAGTATTTTAAAATTATTAAATAATATTTCTAAAATTGCCAATGCATAATGCTAGTTTTACAAAGTTCCAAAATCTACCTGATGTTCTGGAGATAAATCAGCATCGTGTATACCAACCCACCTCTACACAGTGTTCAATAACTCGACCGATCTCCACCTTAGTGAGTCAGTGTTAGGAAAGCGCTGGAAGCTTGGAGAGGAAACTGTTTTCTGCTATTCAAAATAAACACCCCATTCATTTTTCGCCACTACAAACGATCCGAAATCGTTTGCTTCTGTAGGACAAGCCCCGTGTCGATAAGCTGAGTGCTGACCCCACGCAGGGAACAAAAAGTCACTGAGACAATTTTACAACTAAATTGCAAAGAAGCGCATTCAAAGGGATATTACTTTTTAAAAGAGTGGTTCTACACTTTTGATTTGAGCTATTAGAAACGGTGTATGTTAAAACTGTATAAAGCTGCTTGTGGGGATGGGGAGGGAGCCTGCCACCTCCCGCGAGGTCCTCGGTGCACAGCCGTGACTCCCTGGAGGGACCTTCCCTGAAGGCGCCGAAGACACGTGCCCTTGGCCCGGCCGGCCCTCCCTGCGCACGGCCCGGATCTGGCTGTTCAGTTCCAAAAACGAGGACACCAGCCGTCTGAACTGATTTCACAATAAAGCGAACACCTTCCTATAAATACCTCCTAGCAGCCCTCGCCACCCCCAACACTTTCCCCACTAGCTTCGTCTTGCAGCAGGGGGGCCGTCACACCTGGCCACTGGTACCCACCTATCCATCAACCTGCTGGGGGGAAAATTCCTTTATGAAAGAATTGTCTTTGTTTTTATTTTTTCTATGGGTATCCCTTTCCAAAATACACACATCTAACTTCTACTGTTACCAAAAAGCTTTACTGAAAACCCAAGAATAGCTGAGTTTTTTACTACATTTTGCTTAAAAATGCCCAAGTCCTTTTTAGCCCTTAGTGAAAAGCGTCAGTCACTGAGTCTATGCAAAACATCTAAGAATCAAAAACTATGAAAACAGAGAAGCACCAAAAAGAAGGCAGGCAGCGCCAGAACTTTAAGTACATGGAGAAATCAGAAGAACCAAATTTTTCTATACGTAGTCCATCTTAAGATCAATATTTACTCTGCACGTTGCTATAAGTTCCTTTTGAGAACATACTAATAAGGAACTAAACATTGGTAAAATAAGTAAAATAAAAAAAAGGGACTCTTGGCCAGTCCTGGGAGCCCTGAAATCATCCGTCACCCGGTTAAGTTGACCCTGCCATTGACCCTTGACCCTGCCAGGGCTCAGAAAGCCAGAGAGGGGTTCTCACAGAGGGGACACCTGCCCAGAGGCCTCTCCTGACCCAGAAACTCCGGGGGCAAAGGGCGAGCTATTTTCTCTTCCCTGGGTTAAAAGACTCAGTAGAAAACTTCTTCCCCACGGATATGCCCCATCCCCTTATTCCTCTTTGCTCTGACTCACAAGGAGCTCAGCTATCTGGTGCTGGTAACACAAACGTATCAATGAAGTCACCGCAAACAAGGCTCCGAAGCCTGGCCTCCCCACGCTGCTGCCGCCACCGGGCTCTGCCGCCGGCCGGCAAACTCACCGGCGGCGCGGATGAGGCTGTGACCATGTACCAGGCTAAGGAGAAACCACGGAGCCCTTTCCAAGCTTAAGAGCGCGGAGGATTAAACTTACCTGATCTCGGCTTCAGGCCAAACGGGGTTGCACTGTGGGTGGCGGGAGAGACTGTGGCAAAGGTATCTCTCATCTGTGATGTTAAAAGAAAAAAGGACATTTTGTAACAAAAAGAACACAAGGGAAGCAGAACTATACATGCTTCTCTACGCTCAAGGATTTTAACAAAACCACCACCTCGGGCCTGTGCTGCTGGGCGAGGGAGTCCGCGCTGAACAGTGGGATCACCAGCGCACCCTCAAAGGGCAAACGCCTCCCGGGGCATCATCAACAGCTGCCGTTTGCAGGGGGACCCCTCCCATTTCTTATTTGCTCGTCCTAACAGTATGTTTTAGGGTCGCGTGATACTGGCAATCCTCTTCTGCTTTGGAACAGATGTGTGCATGCGTGTGCATGCACACACACACAAACCCGCCTCCCAGAGGGCACACCTGCCGAAGCAGCTGCCACAGCACGTTGAGGTGAGGCCACGGGGCACACGCAGCCGACTTCCCATCTACACGGAAACCGTACACGGGCCACTCAGAGGTCACAATGCGTGCTCTGCGCTGTGGAGCGGAACTCTTTCCCCCTCGTTTCCCGTGAGGATGTTCCCGTATTTGGTTTTCAAAGTATATCTTGTAAAATTAATCTTTATGGGAGGAGAGGGCCAGATAAGGCTCCGATCGCTAATGGGCGGTCCCTGCAGACGGCCTGCAGTACCATCGGCTCAGCACCTGGGGCGGTCTCAGACTACAGACTTCTGTGAAAGACGCTCCAGTTCGGGCTGCACAGAACTGGATCCTTGCTTCTGTTAACCTTCCAGGAACATACCTCGTTTGGAGAATAGTCGCTCCCGTTACTCTGAGACGCCAGCTCATCTTGCACCTTATAGAAGAAAAAAGTGCATGGGATGTTTCATTAGACCACAAAGTTCGTGAGGCAGGAACGGTGTCTTTCTTGCCCCCTGGCCTACAGGCACATGCTGAATACACACCGAGCTAATGAATTAGTGTGTTACGTGGCCAAGGAGGTTACACTTACATTTTCTAAAAACACGCAGCTGTGGTCACAGCAAAGTACATCTAAAGTATCAGACAAACTAAGCAAAGGGGTTTCCCAGAGCAGGGGTCAGCCCGAACCACCTGTGAAGGTCGACCCTGAAGGCTCCGCCCCCATTCAACGACAGGTGTTCGGTCAGGGTTCCAGGCAGGGGTCCCCAAACACACAGAACCCCACCACCAGGAGCCTTTGGCAACCAGTACACGTGCCTGGAACCCAGCCTGCCTGGGAGAACCTCCCGCCGTCCACTCAGCATCAGTCTGCTTTGACGACAGACAGTTATTTCACCCAGATCTACCTTCTTCACGTGGTAATCAGGGACCCCACTAATGCGCCTTTATGGTGATGGCTAGCATTAACACCTTCATCTATCCTACACCAAGTGAGTATAAATTTAACACTTTCCTATGCCTACTGTCGAGGAGTGCCAGTAAAAAACATCCCCAACTTGGACACATCCGCGTAATCGCTAGCCCTGGCTGATCCAGGGCTCTTTCTCTTCCTCCTCCTCCTCATGACTTCCTCTGGCCAGCAGAGCCCGCTAACACCCCCTGCTCCCCCTTTAAAGTCACCGAGTTGTGTCCGTCACAAGCAGAGAACCCGCCAGGGCAGCCTTACCTCACATCCTGGAGAGGTCTCCAGCTGCATGTCACCACTGCGGGCGTGAGGGGGAAAGATGGAGAGTGGGATTTAAAGCGCGCCTATTTCAGCGTAAAAAGAGAAAACGCTCAGTTTTTAAAAGGTCGACATACTTGAGTGCAGAATCCTGCAGTTCTAGGGCTCCTGTGGATTCGTTGGGGTAAAAGCTCACATCACTCCTCTCTTCGGTCTCCGTGCTCAGTCTGAAGAAGAAAGGGGAAGATGTTATTAGATTTCTAACGGATCCTACCGCCTTGGGTTACGTGTAGTCTAAAAACTTAATGTGTTAAATTTGAAGAAGTTGTGTTTACCATCAAGATTAAGTAATGAAAGGTTGATGGCTGAAATTTCAAATTGCACGGTATTTTCCCATCCTGTGCCAAATTTAATATAATTTTAATATAATTTTCTGACTGCCGTTGGTCATAATATTCGTAGGTAGCACACGGTAAATTTTGTTCTAGAAATTGCTTAATTTACAGAAGCAAGTAAAGTTAAGGATACTGCATTATGGTATATGTATCAAAGATACTTTGTTTTGAAAGGAAAACATTTCTGATAGACTCTTAATTCCCTCGTTCAAAAAAAGAAAGAATTCATAATAGTCTTAGTTTCTGAGTTTCTGCAATTTTAAAAACAGAAATTTCTGCAAGTTGTATAAAGGTTACAAAGCTATTTTAAAAGGTGAGAGCAATATTTTTTATTATTATTATTTTAATAATAAGTGGGGGGTGCTGGGTAGAGGGGGCAAAGGAGGGAAAATCAGGAACACTGTAACAGCATAATCAATAAAATATAATTAAAAACATAAAAGGTAGAATGAGTTCATATTATACATGCTTGCTGAAAAATGATATCACATCAACAACCGGAAATCCTTAAGAAACCAAGATAAAGGCAAAATTGGGTAATAACCTGATTTTTTGATGTTAAGATTGTCTAAAAGCTACACCTACAAAATTTAATCACAGGCTTAACTAAAACAACAACAAAAAAGTCTCCATCTGTGACATATGAGACAAAAGACAAAATCCGACGTGTATGTGAAGTTTTTGTTACTAATGTTCTGTCCCCAAGCAGCTATAACCTCTAGAAAGGTCTTCCTTTTATGGGAAACAAGCTGAGGCCCAGCTGGCTCACGGGAGCATTGTTACAAAGTTAGGATCGTCTTATAATAACTATTTCAGGGGCAACAACAGAGACCTGCAGCGGTGAAACCGGAGGGTTACTTTCCGGGAGGAAACGAAACCCGTGTAACACCTTGGAACAAGGTCATTTTGAAATATCCCTCCAGAAAGGTGCCGGTCAACTACACCGGGAGGGAGACTCGAGCTGTGTTCGTCCACAACTCGGCAGACGCCCCCCACTCCACGGGCTCAGACATCTCCAAGCTGAGGGGAGGAGTCTCGAAATCTTCAGTCCGCCCCCCACCCAGGAAGGAGGGCAGAGCGAGACCCGGAGCAGGGAGCCACTGCCTCTGGGTCACCTGGACCCGACTCCTGGGTCTTGGTGCCAGCCCCCCCACCCATGCCACCGCTATTCCCCTCTACGGGGGCTGCTCTTGCTTGATTTGGGGCTCACACAGTAATCACTCTGGAAAAAACTCATTGGGAGAGTGGTACAAGCTGTCAGAGGCGGGTGCGTTACGACAGCATAAAGTTTGACCCAGCGGTGGCCGGCGGTCTGTCACGCCCTGTCTTCAAGGCTCTGTCCTGGATGCGCATTCCCTTCCTGTCGATTTGCGTGCCCGGGAGAACCTCAGCCACTTCTGCAGCCGCTGTTGCTCCGTCCCCTGGGGAGCGTGAGCTTCAGATCTACATCTCCAAGTCCCAGTGGTAACCCAGTAGTAACCGTGCAGCAGCTGGATGCGCATCGCCGCACGGCCCCCTTGGCCGCTACTCAGCGTGTCCTAGCTGAGCCCACAGCACCTTCAAGCTGCTGTCCCTCCCGGTCTCCCTTCTCAGAGGAGGTACCAGGGGCTCGGGTCTGAAACACCGCACCCTCCCTGCGCCCTCGCCGCCCACTTCAAATGATCGGCAGAGAAGGACAGCAGCTCCTGCCATGTATAAAAGTATCTGCGGTGCATAAAAGCATTGCAGACATTTAGAAATGCCTACAGAAAAATACCCACATAACAGATCTCCGTCCAGTTTTGTTTTTTTTCTTAGCTTCCTTACACATTTGAAACCTAATTCTATTGATATAATTGGGGTCAAACTTTCTGCGTGATGTATAATTTTTAACACTCATATTATATAATGTGCATTCTAAAATATATTGGAACCTTTAAAAAACATTGCCTTGCCTACATTATATCCCCCCTTATTAATTATCAAAATGTATCTCCCTTTTCCCAAATATTTGCTATTAAAAACAGCTCCCCCTTCACAATCTTTGTTCATATCCTTTGTCCCTTTGGGATATATTTTTAGAATTCACTGAAAGAAATGGTTTCTACATTTTTTAGGTTGCCAACTGCATACTATTAATACTAGGATGCCTTCTGGAGTGGTTTTGCCAATTCACCTTCCCAGGAGTAGTTTATATGGTATTTCAAATCCTCTCAACCGGAACAGCTACGTACTTGTCACACACACACACACACTCACACACACACACACACACACACACACACAGAAGCTCTTTCGTCACTAACTCCTGTGGTTCAGGACGTGAAACACAGCTCTCTAAGGAACATGCCCTGATTAGGCACTTAATCACTTAATATAAAACTTGGCCTGAAACAATGATTAGAGAGCAAGAACCACACGAATAATCACATTTCTTTAACCGTCATCACCTCCCTCTCCACGGAGTAAAGCCTCAGCTCCTCACAGCGTCATCCGACATCATCTGCAGTGCCCCTGCCCCCACAAGGGCCCCCCCCACCAAGATTCTCGGGCCACCTGCACCTCACAGGAACAGGCGTGGCTTTCCGGAGCAGAACCGGCCAGACCACAGCCCACGAGTGAGTCATGGAGTCCTCATTTCCCAAGTCCCACCAGGGACCCCAGGCCTGGCCAGGGCGGAGGCCACCCTACCTGCCTGCGATCTGAGAAGCTTGCTCTACTCCCTCTGACCTCCAGGCCTCTGCCCAAGCTTCCCGCTCAACCCAGACTTGCTTTGCCCTTCAAAGCGCTAGTTATTCAAGGTTGATGCCCAAACCTTCCAGAAGGCGAGGGGTCAGGTATTCGCTCTAGTCGACCACCTTGGAAGTGTGTAAATCAAGGGCCCTTACAAATAACTGCCCCAGGGAGGGAACTCCATCCACCACAGGGGACGTTCTCGGAAGGAGGAGCTGCGTCTGGTTCACCTGTGCGTTCCCCCAGGCGCCCACCACACACCTGCCTGCGCCCTGGGCACCCAGTGAACAACTTCAGCACCGAAACGCTGTTCAAACAGACAGCTACAGGTGTCCCATCACACTCTAGCTCACCCACCACTGCCTCTCAGGGCCCGGCAACACTGGGGGTGTACCGCTGACCACATTTCGGCAAATCATCAGAACCCGGCAGAGGTGGCTGGGGTGTGGTTTTCCTGTTCACCCAGGGGTGAGACCACATCATCTCCATGGTTTCAATTCCCGGGGCCCCTGGAGAGTTTACCAGGGACAAGCCTGAGACCTATGTCTCTAGTGATGAGGGAGTTATGACCTGATATCAGGTATGTTGTCTTACTGGGAAATATTTTGTCCGTGGGAAGTTCATTTTCCTGAATCAAGAAGCTGGAAAATGAATCTACTATATATAGTGCCAGTGATGGACAAGGGCCAATTCGATTAGAAACTACCCTGCAACCCAAATCATTGCAAATACAGTATTTAGTTAACTCATATTTGCCACCATCGAATAAATATGGCAGTACCTGATACAACGATTCTTCCCTTTCGGGAAAATCTCCCTGGTAGTTCTGGCTGTAAGTCAGAGATTTACACTTTAAGCCACATAAAATATGCATTTTCACCATATGTCTGTTTTTTAGGAATGATGCCAAAAATTCCCTCGTGAATTTCAGAAGAGTGAATACATTTCACTCAAGGGTGGAGAAGGGGCCACTGGACTCCCGCGGAGAAGTCCTAGGGGAGCAGGGAGTTGAAACGACGAAGCCCACCCACGCCGTGCATACAAATGTCTGCAGAAAGGGAGGCGAGGAACCGGTTCGTATCGTCTGCACCCGGAGCTGGGCCCAGGGGGACACGCGCACCTGTCGGGGTCTGGCGGCGAGTTGGCGTCTCTCAGCGGCTCCACCGGGGCCATGTCCGCGTCCGCGTCTTCTTCGGGCGGATGCGTCCTGCAGCAAGGAACCGAGCGTGAGACGGCACCCACCACACACGGAACAGCAGCGTCACCTCGGGTCTTAGGAGCAAAACCACACACGTCCAGCTCCCATCTCACCCATGATCTCGACACGCCGACGTTATGACCGAGACCAGTCAGTACGACCCCGCGGGATGAGCCGCCAGAACGTACTGGAAAGAGCTCCCACCCCCACCCCCGATGGGGGAAGCCGCCCAGCGCTGTTGTAAAGCCTCTGAGTCTCAGTGCCCGTCCGGGCCTCCACCCGCTCGTCTGCACAGTCGGCACCCGACCAGCTGGTGGCGCTCTCACTGCCTTCCTGAGCCTTGCGGGGGCGGGCGCACAGGGGCGCTCGGCTGGGGCGGGGTCTGCACGACTCCCAGACCTCCCAACGCCACCAGTTCAACCGGCGTGGCTCAGCTCCACAGCTGTCACACAGCAGGGACCTCAGGGTAGGACGGCGGCCCTCGGTCTGAGCGCCGCGTGCAGCGTGCAGCAAAATCATCTGCAGCATTCAAAACCAACCCCAACCCAGGCCTGGCAGTCCCAGGTAGATCCGGCTGGGGCTCGGGCGTCTTATCAAGCCCTGCAGATGGCCCCGATTTGCAGGCGAGGCTGAGAACAGCAGATGCAAGGTTAAGAAGGAGGTTTTTAGAGCTTTATATAGTTTAAAGAAGCCTTTCCCTATAATTCTACAAATCTATAATCAAGCCAGGCCTCCCTGGTCTTACAGAAATACACCCAGTGAATGCGGGTCGCACTGGATCGTGATTTGAAAGGAACTTCTTAATGCTTTTAAAGGGCGAGAGAGCTGTGGTCATGGAAACTCCTCTCCACTACAGAACGGAAGTGGAGGAGTTTTTTAACAGCATGAAAAATCCTCTCTAAGGGGAGAAACCCCGTGAGGTCTGGGAGGAGGTCCAGGCCTACGTGCCCCACTACGGAAAACAGAATCCCGTGAACCAGAATCCTGCTCTGTGGCACGGGCCCAAGCTCAGCCCCCAGGAGACGGTCCCCTGGCCCACACAGATGGCTCCCGCCCGCCCCCACAGAGCTTGCCAAGGAGATCTTCGTGGGCACCAGAACAGAAGGGGCACCCTTCTGGTGTGCGGTTCCTTGGGTTCCGCCTGGCTCTCTGTGGCCTTGGGGCATGGTAATGAATCTCTAGGGGCCTCAGTCTGTCCTCTGCGAAATGGGGAGAACAAATCAGACTTACGGGACTGCCGTCAAGTTGCAATGCGCTACTACTCATGATGTCTTTAAGACAGGGCCTGGCATGGGGTGTGATATTTAATGAGTGCGAGCTATTGTTGCAACTGTGAGACTCGGGGCCAGGACATGAGAGACATGTAACTGTCTCAGATCTAGACACCCAAGAGCCTAGGCACAAGAGGGGGACCAGAGCTATTAACACACGAGGTCCAGTGGTCGGCTTCTTTGAACAAATGGAAGGAAGCCAGAACCTCCACGTTGGAAATTCTATCTAATTCCCTGAGTTGCGTTTCTACCTACAGCCCCAAATCTGAGAGAGCTCAGGGCCAAGGGAGGGGCGTGACCTTGCGCTGTACTGCACTAACCCCGTGACAATGAGCATCAGACAGAGGGAAGCTGGCCACTTCCCATCAATATCTTCGGGTAAGAACGTCAGCTTGCCCCCTGCCCCCAAAGCGGGCCGGAATCCGACCAGGATGAAGCTTCCATTCTGCTCAGACCTCAAAGTCTGCAGGACAGCAGCTCATCACCAGGCCCCCGTACTCACGTCCCCTCGGACGGCCAGGGCGTGTCCTCTTCTATCCGCAGCGGCTCCTCGTAGTGGACCGCCCTGCCCTGTGGACAGAACACACGGGTCTTCTGAGAACCACTGGCCATCCACGGTCGACAGTCCAACCCTGCCCCGGCCCACGTTCACGGCGGCACGGCTCGCCACGGGGAGGAGGCGGGAGCAGCCCTGGTGTCCATCAGTGAGTGCGTGGATCAACCGCATGGGGCCCACCCAAACAGCGGGGTGTCATTGAGCCCCGAACAGGAAGGCGGTCCTGACACATGCTGCAGTGCGGCCGCACCTCCAGGACACGCACGGCGCTAAGTGAACCTAGCCAGCCACAGAAAAGAACCCAGGGTATGCTTCCACTGCTCTGAGGCCCCTGGAAGGGTCCAACGTGTAAGGAGAGAAAGTAGAGCGGTTGCCAGGGGCCGGGGGAGGGAAGGAATGGGGAGACACTGTCGAAGGAGTGGAGAATCCCAGTTTTACTGGATGAACAGCGTTCCGGGATGCATGGTGGTGACGGCTACCCCATCCCTAAACGCCACTGAATTTTACTCTAAAAAATGGGGAGGATGGTAATTTTCCCATTCTCTTTATTTTACCATAATTAAAAATAAAATTTTTTTTAAAAAAAGAAAACCTGGCCCAGGACCACAATGCCTGTTAACTTCCTGTCCGAAAGTTAACACTTCTCTCCTGTTCCCTCCTCGCACCTCCTGGCGTTCACGGAGTCGTGTCGGGCGTGTCAGTCATGTGAGGACGTCTGTCCCAGCATGTGTGAGACGTGTGTGTGTGTGTGCACGTGCGCGCGCACATGCGTGGTGGGGAAAAGGGCTGCATAACACACCTAACAGAGGATGCCTCCAAGGACATCTAATAGGTTTCGTGCATGCAGCATCCCCACTGCACTGAAACGCACCCCACCCCCCAAAAGAAACGCTGGTGGGAGTGTCGGGACGGCGTGCCCACCGCTGGAACCTCCACATGCTCCCTCCCACTCCCGCCTCTGACGCAGAGAAGCGGCCCCTCGTGCAGCCAGGAGCCCACGGCCGGCTCAGAGGCCGCCCCAGATGAGGACATGCTCCCTGGCAAGGAAGGGACAGCAGCCACGCGGACTGTTTTCCGTGCCGAGGTTCCGACAGGAGCCCAGCCGGTCCCCTGGACGCGTCACCAAGCACCAGCCTTCTTCCAGGGAGGCAGCTGGTGCCCGACGCTGGTCTCCGGCTTCCCAGACACGCCGACACTTTCTGTATTGATCTGACTTAACAGCGCATGACAGCGCCAACAGAGCAGTTTCTGTGCCACACTGTCCGGGGGACAGGGGCGCCCATGGCAGAAAGCACGCTGCCAGCAGTGACAAACTCTCTTTGTGTCGGGCTTCAGCTGCAGAAGCCATGGGCATTTCCCTCCAATTCTCCATTTCGTAGCAAAAAGCAGCCCCAAGGGCGAAACATCGGTTTTTCTTTCCGTATGCAACACAGGGCCTACTGGGCTTCTTTTGCTGAGTTAGACAGGTACGCACTTGATCCTCATTCTCTGTGGATCCCACAGTCACAAATCTGCTCCCTCGGTACAACGCACCAGAACCCCCGCACCCACACGCACGCTGCTCCCCGAGCCCCCTGCAGGCCTGCACGGAACGGTGGGACCCCAGCTCCCAGCACGCTCTGCCTTCCCGGCTCGGCTGCCAGAGCTTTAACACGCGTCCTGTTCAGAGTCCATTTAGTGCCACTTTTCACAGTCTGGTGCTTTCCCGGGTGATTTCACTGTTCAAGGCACACCCGCCACGGTGCTGAGGTGCGGTCTCATGTTCCTGAGCACGCGAGGGCTGTGATCTTCCTTCCCGGGAAACATGTGTCGGACAAGCTCGACTGAGGCATGGCTGAGTGAGTGGTGTGGGCCGCAAGTTCAGTGTCCACAAGCCAACGAGGCACGTTTGGCAAGGAGTCTTTAAATAGAGACACACAAGCCGCAATGAGCAAGGTCATGCCCTGGACATCCGACACGGAGCCTCACCCTGAACTTGCCCTTTGGAGCCGTGGCTCGGGACGGGCTAACTCGGTGCTGGGGGCGGCTTTGCAGAGCGGAACCACCGTGAAGAGGGAGGACCAGCTACAGTTGCAGAAGCGCAGGACGCTGACTCAGCGGAGGGGACAGGACGGGGTTTTGGGAGCCACGGAAGCCTCGGTCCCCGAGGACTGAGCGGCCTGCACGCCCCGCACACGCACGGGCTTTGCAGGCGACGCGGCTCGCGGCTCAGAGAAGCCTTGGCGTTCAACGCCGGGCTTTTCATGTAGGTGCGGGCTTTATTTCATTATCAGCACCTTTCTCTCAACTCTCCAAGACAGGGGCCTCTCGCAGGGCTGATCATCTAGGGGGTCACCCTCGTGATCTTGGGGGCCGCAGCCTGAACCGAGAAGACGGGCAGGAACGTCCCGGGGCACCACACCATGTCTCAGGGTGACACCGTGACCACCAGCTTCCCCAACCGGCTCGTCTCCCTCTCCTCGTTGCCACTGTTACGAGGAAGCTCCACCTGACAGCCCGGCCACTTGCCCCCGACCTTCCAGCACCTCACGGCCCCGACAGCAGTCAGGGGGCCAGTGCCCGCAGCGTGGGCCCTCCGGAAGGGGAGGACGCTCATTCCAGAGCCTGGATGTGCCCCCTTCTCTCTCTGCTGTGGACAGACCCCTGAGAAAAGCATCCACCAAGAAAACACAGACGAGAAGGCGCTATTCAGCTTTCACTAAACGGCCCCGGTAACTCGGACTTCGAGCAAGGGAAAGGGGAGTGACTCTTAAACCCCACCCACGTGCCGCCAGGTGAAGGGTGGTGCATGGGAGGAGGGGGTGGCTCCTCCTGGCAGAAAAGAAACTCGCTGGTCTTTGAGGAGGAGCTGTAAAGGCCCGGGGAAGGTGGCAGCAAGCTGGCCTTCAAGGTGCTAGGCGGTAACCTGAACCAGAGAGAAGTTAGTACATAAGACGACCAGTGGACCCTCCACTTGCCTTCATGTAGTTTATGAATTCCGGGTGGAGAACATCTGTGCCACAGGTAAGCTGGTCCCCTGCTTCTCCTGAGCTGTTGCTGTCGCCCGCCAGGGACGTCCCGGGTGGGAACTCCTGACGGAAGTCCCCTGGGAGGAAAAGAGAGAGAGCAGAGGGAAGCATGAGTCTCGACCAGGGGCCAAGCACAGGTCTGTCTGCTTCTCGGGGGGACAGGGTCGCCTAACGACTGCAGTCTTCCCTCCTGCCTCTTAAAGGGGTGAACGAATGGCCCCAGTTTTCTCCTCTCTGAAGGGTGTAAGGGAAAGGTAAAAGAAGGAAGGAAAGAAGGGAAGGGAAGGGAAGGGGAAGGGGGAGGGGAGGGGAAGGGGAAGGAAAAGGAAAGGAAAGGAAACAGAAAGCCCCAAACTGAACTTGGAAGTCCAAGGTCTCTGTCGGGCTTAGTTCCTTGTGAAAGAAATGAGATTTCGTCTTGTTTTTTTTTAAGGCACGGAGAGAGGACAGCAGGAGCAAACCCTCGCGTCCTCCGTAACCTGTGACGTGTAACTAGCGAGGGCAGCTTCGCTGTGCACCAGCTGCGCGGCCAGTCGGCTCAGACTCTCCGAGCCTCAGTGTGCTCTACAGAACTGGGGTCGTGAGGGGCCACCTCCGAGTTCTGAGCTTCCGGTGAGGTCACCTTCGCCCGTCAGCTGCTACTGCTGCGTTTGCGCACCGTGTGAGCACGGCCTTGGGGACCGAAAACCCAGCCCTTCCTCCCCACCTCGCGCTCTCAGACCTTTCGCTGGACTCAGGCGGTGGCACGGGTCCTCCTTGGCGGTCTGCTCTTCCTCCTTGATGTGGGACATGGGGACGCTGAGGCTGACCGCGTCCTCGTCCGACGGCTGGAAAGAAACGGGGCGCTGCTTCAGGCCCGGGCAAGGCGCAGCCGGGGAGAATGCGCGTGAGGGAAAACCCCCAGCTGGGACTCTCAGAGGCACAGTAGCAGGTAAAAGACACCAGGTACCAAGGACCGTTCTGCTCACTAAGCTCAAAAACGGGCAAAACGAATCCCCGGTGTTTGAGGTCAGGCTCGCGGCTGCTCTGGGCTCGGGGGTGGGGTGGTCACAGGAGCGGGGCTTTTTGGGGTGCCGGGGAAGTCCCGCGCCTTGAGCTGGGAGCTGGGGATGGGCTTCCCTCTGTCGAGGTTCACCGGGCTAACGCCCATGCATGTGCTCTGAGCTGCAACTCTCCCAGACGTGCTCTAACCTGAGAGCCGCAGGCTGGGGACCGGGGAGGGCCGTGTGACAGCCGGCAGAACAAAGGGACGCCTGCAAACCGTCTGCGACAGGACCCCCAAGTGGAATCGGTTGGGTTGGCAGGAATGTGACCGCGAGACCTGACAACACTCACCCACCACAGCCCTCCGAAGGTCTCACGTGGCTCGTCACCGAAAGCCAACGGTCAACCAACCTCGGGGACAATGTCCACTTATTTACAGGGCCCTCTCCACGCTTCTCGGCTAACTTCGGTTTATTTCCCGGTTTCAGGGTGAGGACGCTGCCTCAGGGGGTAGAAGGGCTCCATGGCGGTGGGACTGACACGGAGCAAGAGTTCTGTGAAGGTTCCAGAATCACACTTGGACTTGGTCACGGGGTGTGTTCTCTCCGGGAGTCTTGCTCCCCCCACCAGCTGAGGGTGCTGATTCAGAGAACCGTTGGTCCCGTCACCAACGCGACAGGAAGCCTCCTCATTCGTCTTCCTCCGTCTCCACGTCAGTGTTGTCGTTCAGTGAAGTCACAGCGCGTTTCCAGTCCCAGGGGTCAGGGCCCCGCCCCCCAGAACCGGCGTGCTCCCCCTCTCCGGAGCCTACAACGCTCCGAGCACAGAGTCCGCTCCCTCCTGGACACGGGCGCAGATTGGCAGAGGCGACAAACCGGCATCTCCTTCAGGAAACACATGTTCAGCGGGGTCCCAAGGTCTTGGCTTGTTCATCTTGAGGAAAATGGGTTTTCAGCTTCCTAATGACCCATGCTACGTCCATCAGAAGATGGTGGCAGCAAGAAAAGAAGCCGGGGGGGGGTCTCTGAACCCCACAGTGAGATATAAGTGGGGGGCGAGATCAGCTGGCCATACAAATTGCCAAACAAAGCGAAAACAGAAAGCTCCCATGGTTAATTCGGAACCCTGACCATTCTAAAACAAATAATAATTCTTGGAGGTGCCCCCAGGTAATGAAGCTACACTGTGAGATCTGTGCACCTGATTCTGTGGAGTATAACCTTCTCTGTAATCCTTCTTCCTTCCAGCCTCTCCCCACCTTAGACGTTCAGCAGGATTCCAGAGATAAGCATCTCGTTACACGGGAGGGAACAAACTCCTGGCCCCTTTCTTCTCGTGGAACGGCATCAGCGTCCCACGGACACCGAGCGAGGACAGAAGGATGCTGCTGCTCTTTGTGCGACGTCTCATTAGTGGACCAGCCCTTAGGAGGCAGGTAACCGAGAAAGCCGAGTGCGTGTCAATTTAACAGAAAATGAGTTCAGGGTGAGTCACCTCCGACACAATGGGGCATTTCAGGGGGCTCGCGAGTTTTAATAAAGCGAAGGGGGTTGAATTGAATACAACTTACAAAGTGACGTGTTGAGTATTTTCTCCCCACTCCCCCCCCCACCCCTCCCTGGGAACCACAGTAAACTATTCATGTGGCTCCAGGAAAGTCATTTTCTTTTACGGACAGGGTCTTTATTTCTGGCTAACTCTCCTTCCTCTTGAGATGTCCTGTGAGAAAGAGTGTAAGGTATCCTAGTTTCTCTTTTAATACACTGCTTTGTAACGAATTTGGGGAGGGGGTGATAAATTCAAATACCTTAACTATATATTAAACCTCGAAGGTCTGAAGAGAACTACAAATAGGCATTTCCCTAGAGTCACACATACGGCCCTATCAGTTGTATCTTCGAGGAGGATTATAATGTCTCCAGCCCTACGACCCCAGAAACTCCCTCAACAAGGGAAGACCTGGCGATACGCCAGCCCTCACCCCACCTAGCTCCTTCCAGCTCCCCGGGTCCAGAAGCTCATTCAATGGTAGGGCAGTGAGAGATTTGGGAGCATCTAACAGGCTCTGAATGAGATAACAAACGTGCTATAAATACGCTACTTCATAACCGCTTTAGAAAGCTAATAAACTTTTTACCCAATGATCTGAAAAGAGTTCCAGGAAACAAATATTGCTATAAAAATGATGGCTACTCATAAACTCATTGCCTCGGGGTACCCTGCTAAAACGCCACGCACATTTGATTCCCGCACACTGACGCATGCGTCTAACAAGTTTTCCTCAACTGTCCTGTCACTTAAAAACAAGCACTTATTGAAAGGGCCTCATGGGTACTTGCACCTCACTTAGTCATTTCATAGTCTTCATTGAGCATTCGAGAATATTCTAGACAATGTGGGGTGCAAGGAGATCGGAATCCTACTCCTGAGACATCGGCAGAATACTGAAGATGCAGAAGAAGCTAACAACGGCTAATATCTATACAACACTGGGAGGATTTCACATTGTTGCTTTTGCAAACATTATCACATATTCCAGTGCGGAGGGCTAATGCCTTTTACCAGAAAGGGGCTCCATAAATGCAGCGGATCGCTCTGGAAGCAGAGAAAGAAAAAAAAATCGCAAATGGATCTCAAACTCACCTCCGTGGCCGATAATCGCTTGTCCCCGTTATCGCTCCCAACGCCCGAGTCGGAATCCTTCTTGCTGGGGTAGACGTCGTCCAGGTGGAGTTCGCAGAGGGAACAGCAAAATCGCCAAGTTCACAAGCTATATCAACTTATATTCCAGTTCTCAGTTTGCTCTATAAATTTTTATGGTTACCATGAGGCACCAGAGCAGCTCCGTGTTAAAGGGCGTTACGACAAGGGCCTGATGGAATGGGAACCACATACTTGCATTGTCTAAACACGGTGCTGAATAAACTCTCTGTGTCGGGGTTTCATGGACTTACGCTTTCACTCAGCGGCCCGTTCTTTGAAACAGTTAACAGTTTTCTTAGTCTGATCATTTCCATAAAAATAATGCAAAACCTACCTAATTGCTTTTTTAGGTTTTGAAATGTTGGCAATCTTGGAAAAATTCTGGAAACTGGAATCCAGTGACTCAATAAACTTGATGGCACATTTTACAAAATAATGGAAACCTATTTTAAGCTTTATGTAGAGGTGCCATAAAGGTGGTCTGAGATTTTGAGTCACTAGTTTCCTTTTTTAATAAAAAGTGAAGGAAAGATAACCTGGCTGGCATAGCTCAGTGGATTGAGCTCAGGCTGCGAACCAAAGCATCGCAGGTTCGATTCCCAGTCAGGGCACATACCTGGGTTACAGGCCACGGCCCCCAGCAACCACACATTGATGTCTCTCTCTCTCTCTTTCTCCCTCCCTTCCCTCTCTAAAATAAATAAATAAATAAAATCTTAAAAAAAAAGTTAAGGAAAGATGTCTGCAGCAAAGACTTCTCCAACCGATCTGTGTCCGAAAGTGAGTTTGGTGTGGGAGTTTTGCTCTCCAAAAATACAAGGCCCGATTTGTGCCAACAGGCAGCCAAGGACCTGCGAAAGGATTCTAACCCTTCCGTTTTAAACAGGAGATGGAGAAACCAGGCATGCTGCATTTCAAAAAGACCATTAAAAAAAATAAAACCTGCAGTTTCTCTTCACAATGTTCCAGGAGCATTATTAAATGCTCCAGGAGCTTCATTACATATTAAAAATTAGTAATGAAGCCCTGACTGGTGTAGCTCAGTGGATTGAGGGCGGGCTGCGAACCAAAGTGTCGCAGGTTCAATTCCCAGTCAGGGCACATGCCTGGGTTGTAGACCATGACCCCCAGCAACCGCACATTGATGTTTCTCTCTCTCTCTTTCTCCCTCCCTTCCCTCTCTAAAAATAAATAAATAAAATCTTTAAAAAAATTAGTAATGAAAAAAAAACCCATGTCTGAGCTTGACACTGTCGTTTTCAAGGATAAATAAGAAGTATCTGTGTATATTATACATCTTATTTATAAGCATACACACATATATATTTGCACACACATAAGTGTGCACACACACAGCACTCTAAGGAGGACTGATTTTCGACGAGGAAAGAGTAGGTAAGATTTGAGAGTTGCCAAACGTTACCCACGGCATCAATTTTCTCCTTCCTATTCCAAAAGTTTCTGAGACTCCGCGTTATAAGTCTGCCCGGGTTGAGTGACGCAGAAGGATCTTGGAGCGAGGTCCCGGGAACAGCTCGGCCCAAGCACAACCCTAACGAGGGGCCGGGAGCCGGGCGGGCGCACGCACCTGTCTTCCACGTGCTGCTGGGACTGCGGCCTGTCCATCGTGGGCAGGTACAGGGAGTCGGCCGTCTTCATCTGGCAGGCCTGGATGCTCAGGTACTTGAATATGTGCACTTTGCCCTTTGTGCAAATCTGGGGAGACATCCATCTCACACACTTAATATGTCTTAATGGCAAAACAAAATAGCAACAGGAGACAGCCGACTCTGTATATTTTAATCTTTGCGTTTTCATGCCCAGGGACCTCTCAACACCCAGTGTGTCCTCTACAAAACACAGAAGACTTTAGGCAGTCGTTCCTTCCACTGGGAACAGAAAACCGCAGCTCGAGCAATTTCTAGTCTTTCTTGCAGGAAAAGTGCAAAATCCTAACAGAAATGCGTGTAAGTGTAAATAGTGTAAAAAAACTACAGAAGTCCGATACCTAACCTGGCAACCCTCCAATTCTGGACGTGTTTATACTCCACTTGTTTCTCCTCGTTTGAAATTTGAGCTTGACGCTTGTCTCTAAATGACCAATAATTGTATTTCGAAACGCTCAAGCTCCATTTCCCAGTCAACATTAAAGTAAGGAATCCATTCCTCTTTTTCACGCCATGGAAGAGTGTCAGATGTACGCCTAAATAATAAAATAACCCGATGTAACGGGGACTGCAGTGCTAAGAGGAGCGAACCCGACACTGGTAGGTGGGCTGGAGGTGGCAGGAGACGACCGGCTGCCGTCACAAACACCCAGGGGTTCATCCGCCTTTGCAGAGACTGACCCTGCTCGGTGTCGTGTCGGATGCTGCATCAAACTGGCAGTAAACATTCAAAAACTGACTTCCTGCGCACCGGGAGAAATGTCACCCAGCACCTGTGTTAGGAATACGTGTGAATGTATGGGCATAATATTGTCCCCAAGGGAAGGCGGGATCTTCCACTGGGGGTTCCAAAGTGGCAGTACCTGCAGACGGTTACCCAAGCGGCTCTGCGCACCCCGCCCACCTGGGCCGGCCGGCCGCCCCCCTCACCTGTGCTGGCGGGGACTGCAAAGGGTTGTTCTCAAGGACCAGGACTTGCAGCTGCTTCATCTCCCTGAAGCAGACGGGGATCCCCAGCACTTTATTGCAGGAAAAGTCAAACTTGACCAAGGGGAGATCTACTAGTTCTAGAGGCAGAAGAGGAACAAAAAAAGAAAAAAAAGAAAGAAATCAGAAAGCAACACGACTGAATGGCCAAACATTCAAAAATTGACTTCCTGCGCATCAGGGGAAATGTCACCCGGCACCATCAAAAGTAAGCCCCGTGTTAGGAATACGTGTAAATGTATGGGCGTAATATTGTCCCCAAGGGACGGCGGGATCTTCCACTGGGGGTTCCATCATTTAAACTGTCGTTGGTAGTATTGGTAAGAGTTGGAAATACAGCCCTGGCTGGCGTAGCTCAGTGGATTGAGCGCGGGCTGCAAACCGAAGTGTCGCAGGTTCGATTCCCAGTCAGGGCACATGCCTGGATTGCAGACCACGGCCCCCAGCAACCGCACATTGATGTTTCTCTCTCTCTCTCTCTCTCTCTCTATCTCCCTCCCTTCCCTCTCTAAAAATAAATAAATAAAATCTTTAAAAAAAAAGAGTTGGAAATACTTGACATTTACAATATGTATTGTTTAAAAATGCTTTTAAAGAATAAAAGCAAAACGGTCACATAGGCCACAGCACACAGAACACAGTCACTTCCAGCGTTTCCAAGCGGTGCTTGGTAACACACGCATAGTACGCCAAGCGCAGCACAGTCTCGTCCATTTAATGTGTCTGGGCTGGCATGACCTCAGAAGTAGTTACAAGAAATGCGTTCGTGGGTTTTTTTTTTTCACTCCACTTTAAGAAATGAATGCTATCTAATTCAGAATTTTGCAAAGAACCCTGTAATCCTGACTTATAGGGCTTTATTCTCCTGCTTTTAAAACAATCTCCTGTAGCTCCACCAACAAAACAGAACATTATATTTAGCTTAAAATCCCCACCCAGGGGCAGAGTGAGCACTCAGTAATTTCAAGCATTCCAACTGGCACTGGCAGCTGCGAGAAACCAGTCAAATGTATTCCATACAGCAGCGAGGCGAGCCACGCCAAACGTGTAGGGTGACAGGGGACAAACCGCTTGGATCTCCGAGCAAGAGGCTCTGGGGTGGGGGGAGGGGTGTCACTTCAGAACAGGCCTCCCACATTTGCTGTGGGACCTGGTGAGGGCTGGAAGAGGGTGCCTTCGAATGCTCCGGATTCCGGAGAGGAGGAAGGGCAGGAACTAGAAAAAGGGGAGGAGCCAACGGCAGCACCGAGGAGCAAGCAGGAACACGGCTCCTCCTCCTCCTTTTGCCTCGAGGGCCAGGGCTTGTCACTTCACCCAGCAGCGGTGCCACGTTCAAGTCCCACCACGGGTCTTCGAGCAGCCAGCGTCTCTTCTCCAGAATTCAGCTCCCCCTGGGCTGGGAGGGACTTTCCTTCTTCCATACAGCCCCAAGGAATGACTTTGTCTTAAAGAAAGAAGTGAGGGGGCTGAAACGCTAGAAAGAAGGGAGACGAAGAACAGGGAACGCGGCAGGTCCCAGGTTCTCGTCCAGGCGAGGCGGCTGGCTGGGAGGCAATCGGCAAGCCTATGTTTTCAGCTGCCGGGAGTTCACCGGTGGGACCCAGCTCTCCGGCCAGCGGCAGGATGGGGATTTGCCTCCACACCCGCTGGTCCTGGTGAGGGCCGTGAGCACAGGGCGTGGGGCAGCAGGGGGCGGAGAAGAGAGGCAGTAAGTGAAGCTGGAGAACAGTGTGGGATCCCGACAGTCAAAAGAAAAAAGGGCGGGGTGAAAAGGGGGAGGATCCCTTTCCACTTCATAGTTTCTTTCTAAAACGGGTAAGAATTAGGGGGGGTTTTATATCAAAAGAGCGTCTCCTTGCTGTAACCTTTAGTAATATTAGTCCTCTTCTGTGATGATTAACTTCATTCACAAAAGTCAGGCTAGCCGATCAGTGGTGAGTGTTACCTGGACGCTAGATCTTCGGGAACCCTCTGCCCCTTAAAAGGAAGACCTTTTCCAGCAAAAGCAGAGGGCTGCATTCGGGGGCAGACAGGGCAGGGGCGGGGAGGGGAGGCTCCGTAGGGGTACAGGAGATGGGAACGGCAGCGACCCTCTCAGTGTTTCACAAGAACACGGGGGACAAAAATGGTAACTCCATCCCAGAAAAGCTCAAAAGAAACAGAGCAGAAAAAGGGAGCAAGGAAAAAAAAAAAAGGAATCTTACTTCTCTCTCTGTTATAAAGAAGGGCAATGAATGGCTACGCGAATGCACTGTGAGTGCTGGTCCCAGAAGGAACACAATACAGTCCCCGCCCGGAGGCCACTGCACCCGAACTGCTGTGGGTAATTAGGCCAAAGACATTTTCTTCCCCTCCTCGGACTGAAAGCGTATGAGGGGGGCACTCCAGGAGGAAAAACAAGTAAGGAAACGCGGAAAGGCTTTAAATGCACTGCCCGAAAGCACCGTCCATGCTCTTCTGTTACTAGGAGCTCTCCAGAGTGAAGCAAAAGGAAACCGGATGTGCAGGAAACTATTTTTTTTTTAAGATTTTCCAGTACACTGATGTTCTAGCTTGGAGTGGAGCTTAACATATTGAACCTGAGCAGACACAATTATGGAAAGCATAGAAATTTGTAACTGATCTTCTCAGGGAGAGCAATGCTTTTAAGGTAAGAGAGTCCGGCGCGGTGAGCGAAGCAAAAATCTTGATTTTGTAGATGTGCTTTCCACACATTTCTAAACTGTCGCAGGCCACTGTAAGACAATTAAGTTAAGTTTTCCTTCTGAAAAGAATTCAATGCCTTGTGATGATTGCTCAGGGATTAGCTTGAGAGCTTACATTTACATGAACGCTTCCCTCCATGCTACGGAAGATTATATGCTTATAAACTTGGGAGGAGTGTCCCCTTTGCACTTGCGCAAACGAAGAAAAACAATGCCAAACATTCCAAACTGGGGCTGCACAACGGCAAAATGAGAAATCCGTATTTTTACACCAAGTCATCTCAAGGATGAAGGTAATCAACCTTTCCACGGAGACTGTTTCTAATTCTGCTTCTTTTTTTTTTTAAGAGAGAGAGAGAGAAACATCCATGTGCGGTTGCTGGGGGCCGTGGCCTGCAACCCAGGCATGTGCCCTGACTGGGAATCGAACCTGAGATGCTTTGGTTCGCAGCCCAAGCTCAATCCACTGAGCTACGCCAGCCAGGGCTAATTCTACTTCTTTAAAGTGCCAGTCAGCAAGTGAACGAGAAGATGCAGACACCAGAACCTTCCATGTAGGAAGCACGTGTCATTTCATAAAGTCCTTTCCCTCCCATCGGCACCGTTTTCCTGCCTCGGGTCAGGAAGCACTTCGAGCCAAAGACCGAGACGCAGGGACAGAATAATAAAAATCCAGCAGCTCTCAAAACAGCAGCATCAGCATCAGGTTAACCAAATGCCGACCGTTTCCAAATACAGGGTAGGGCCAAGGCTTACAGTTGTCCGTAGGAAAATAACACAGTGGTTAATCAATAAGAACACAAGCACAAACTCTGTTTCGCGTGCACATGGCGGTAAACCTCCCTCTGCCCCCAGCCCTGGCTGCGCTTTGAGGTGTTGCTGACTGTGCATGTGACACTGGCAAGCCTGGTGTCCTCCAACGAAAACCAGGGACATCGACATGACCTCTGAAAGTCGGAGTGTGTTTTGGAGAATGCGTGCAGTGCACGTCTGACGCCTTCCTGATGGGGACCCAAATAAGAATCAAGAATCCTAAAGCATGAAATTCCGATCCACTACCCCGCTTCCGAGGCTGGCTGTCCGAGTTCTCAATGGCCCACAGTTTCTGCATAAACACATCTTCCGACTCAGATGCTGACACAGCAAGTCAGAAGGATGCCTGCAGGAGTCCACAGCCACAGGCCCGAGTCTGCTCCACCAGGGCAGGGCCGTGGGAGGGGCTTCAAGAGAGTCACCCGAACTTCCTGTGACGTTAGTCCAAATGTCGCTCCAGCAGGGGCGGTGCCTTCCCCTGAAGAGCAGATTTTAGACACGGGGGGCTCCAGCCAGTGCCCCCCAACCGGAAACCCCGACTGTCGGACCTGCAGGACCAAGCACGTCAACTACACTGCCGGCGTGCTGTTCCAGAACATCAGAGGTCCGTACCCACAACGATGCCCGCTGCCTCCTGGCGTGAGCTGCGTGGTGTGCCCCCACATTCCTACGCTGAGCTCTGACCCCCAGTACGTCAGACTGCGACTGTATTTGGAGACAGGCCTCCAAAAGGAAGAATTAAGTTTGAAATGAGGTCATTAGGGTGGACCCTAACCCAACAACAGGCCTGGTGTCCTTCTAAGAAGAGGCCAGGACGCAGGCAGAAGGTGGAGGGCATGAAGACACGGAGAACATGGCCGTCCACGAGCCAAGGAGAAAGGCCTCGGAAGGAATCGGACTGGGTAACACCTTCATCTCCGACCGCCAGCCCTCAGAAGTGTGAGACCGTAAACTTCTGCCGTGTGAGGCGCCCAGCCCACGGTGCTGTGTTACGGGAGCCCTAGCAGCCTGACACGCACACGCACGCAGCCTCGCACAGGGGAACGGCCTACTGCTGTGCCCCCTGGCCAAGGGCACGGCCAACTCACACGACAGTTGTCTGCTCGTGACATTCAAATTAAAATGAATAGTAACAGGCACACACAAACGGCAGAGCAAACAAAAAATAGCCAGGGTCTCCCGCTGTATCCACTCCCCCGCCCCGCCCGTCCTGGGTACCTTGGGGTAACACCTCCAGGTAATTCCTTCGGACGTTGAGTTCCCGCAGAGACTTCAGCTGCCCGATCTGCTGCGGCAGGGCGGTGATCTCGTTGCAGCTGACATCCTGCAACGAGAGCAGAGAGAGAGAGAGAGAGGCTGAGAGATGCCTTTTCTGGAAAAGCAGGCGCCACAAGCGACATCGCCACCATGAGGGATTTAAATGTGAGAACAACGACACAGGTAGACTTTCCTGAGAGTCTCCAGGTTGCTGGCCGAGGAAGGCTGAGCGCAGAGACGAAAAGGAAAGGTCAGCCACCGCCGAACCCTTCTCGGAGGAGAGGAAGACGGAAAAGAAGGAGGCTGTGGCCACTCGGCCACTTTCACGGGCTTCGGTCTCGTTTCCTTCCTCCCCGAAACTTGCCAGGCAGCGTGACTACCCCGATGTCTGCAGATCACAACAAGGAGCCTCGGAAAGGTCAGGTCATTTGCCTGAGGCTTGCGAGTGCCAGATTAGCACGTGGAGCCGTTCAGCAGTCCGAGGTCGGCCGTTCCCCCGTAGGACCTCCAACCGGCAGAGAGCACGCCCCGCCCCTTACTACAGGCTCACGTCTTACAGCGGAAAACACCGCACATCGAGGCATTGTTTGGATGCACTACTCACGTGAGATCAAGTGCAAGTTTGGACCTGAACACCTTTCCCTACATTTTACAAGCACGTCCGTGGGGTGGGCAGACTGTGTCCTCTTTGCTCTGGAAGACCGATATTCTGTTCATTGTTGATCGGAACCACCCCTTGACACACGCACGACGGAGGCACGACGGTTTAAATCCACACGCCCTTGTCGTTACCCCTAATCCCACTGGTCCTCGTGGTTCTGGCAGCTCCGCCCTGCTCTCCACCCCTCAGCGCAGCAACTCCGCTGGTCTAGGGCAGCACTCAGTCTCCAGATTGGCTTCCATGCTTCACTCTCTTCCCTTGACTCGTCCTGCCCAGAGTAAAAAGTCACACAGTGGCCCTGGCTGGTGTGGCTCAGTGGATTAAGCACCGGCCTGTAAACCAAAGGGTCACAGGTTCGATTCCCCATCAGGGCACACACCTGGGTTGCGGGCCAGGTCCTCAGGAGGGGGTGTGTGAGAGGCAACCACACACTGATGTTTCTCTCCCTCTCTTTCTCCCTCCCTTGCACTCTCTCAGTAAATAAAGAAATCAGATATTGTCTTAGAGTCACACAGTGTACATTTCACCATGTCATTCACCAGCCTCGACACCTGCAACAGCTCCTCAGCTACAGCACAAGACCCCGCACTGCGCACCAGGCCCGGCTCTGCCACTCGCCTCTGGGAGCTTCCCTGGCGCCACCCCTCTGAAGGCGGGCCCCCGTCCCCCACGCCCGAACGGTGACACGGCTGCTCGCGGTTCCCAGTGGGCACCGAGCCATTTCACAGAACTCGTTCCCGAAGCTTGTCCGGGCTCTTGCCCTGTCTGGTACATCCTCCCCAGTATTGTCTTCTGGTCCCGCCTGTTCTGGGACACAAGATAACCACAGATGTGTTCTGGGCCAGGAGCGATGCTACAGCAGACTTAACTCAAGCCCCGCCTCCTCCTGGAAGCCTGGCTTGAGGCCTCCGCCCCCTCTCCCACTCCACTCCGGTCACCAGGAGAACTGACCACTCCCGTGTGTGCAACAGGGTCTGTCCCCGTACCCATCCTCATCCGCTCAAACGTTTCTCTCCTCCACCACGTCTATGAGCTCCCGGACGGAAGAGACCGTGTCTTATTCACGCCAGCCTCCGGGTGCCCAGCAGAACGCCAGGCGTGTAAGGTAAGGCATCGATAAACTTTGGATAAAAGGTCTCGGCCCACTGCCCCTGCAGCCCCATCATGCTGCCGTTCATTCTGTCTCGTAGACGGGACCGCCAGATGCTCCATCGCACGTGCCGAACCGCTTGCACTTACCTGGTGTCGCAGAACCACAGATACGTTGGGACCATGACCAACCCCAATGGGATCAAGTCCTTAAATACCCCACATCACTGCTGAACCTGCAAAAACCCGCTCTTTCACTCCCCCGCCCTGCCCTTGTGGAAGGCAGCAAAGCCTCGTTTCAGAAATCGGTTGGCTCCAGGGAAGAAATCGGTCAGCTTCCCGTGGCTCCAGATGAGACACGGGCACCGCTGACCAATCCCTGGAAGCCCCGGGCTCCGCGTGAAGTAGGCCTACACGCAACACAGCAGATTGCTGTCCGCCAGCCCCATCTCTCCCGCACGGCCTCGGAGGGTGGGCCTGCTACTCTGTCAAGGTCATGAGGACACGGAGTGAGTGTCGCTTGACGAAGAGGAACAGTATCACTCCTGCCAAAGGGAAAGGAGCTGCAACCCAGGAAGACTGAAGGCATGCCCTGCGGTAAGCCTGCCGCACTGCTCTGCCCTCCGCCGTGGAGCTGGCGGGGAGGGGAGGGGAGGGGGTGGAGGGAGGGGAGGGGGAGGGAGTGAAGGGGTTAGGAGCACTAGGGGTTCACTGACATGACCCTCAAGCTGACTGTTGCAGCATCGCTCCTGGCCCAGAAAAGTCACACAAAATTTTACGAAAAACATCCCTTGTGTTTTAAAAAAAAACACACAAACCGACAAGCACAGCCGCAGTGACACACACATGTGCAGAAGCGATTCTGGAATTAGGAGGTCCAGAGGTTTGCTCGCTCACTGGGGCCCCTCGGCGAGTCAGCGAAGTGCCTGCCTCTCCGAATGCACTTGCAGACACGAGGGTGCAAGGCGAGCACCTCTCTTCGCGACTCCTACGGCGTTGGATGGCATTTGATTGGTCCCAGAAGGCAACGAAACCCTCCCCCTCCAATGTATGCTCTGCCTCTCTTTGCTTTCACCAAGCTGCAAACATCACTGCTGTTTTAAAAGTGCCCTCGTACAAATGGTACACGGGCAGGCCCCAGAGATAAAGGAAGTTAAATCATTCTATCGGACCCCCAAAGCCACGTGGGTGGGTGATGTTTGAGGGTCCGGGGGAGAATGAGTGGGAGTTATGCGCCATCTCTACAGAGAAGCTATGCAGTTGGCAGCAAAGATGAACTTCTGTACGTCTGTGAGTGACAGCATGAGAGAGACCCACTTGTAGCTCAGGGAAATTACAGATTTGCAAGGTGAAACCGACAACTTAAAGATATTTTAAGGACATGATTTTTAAGAACATCCTTCTCTTTAAAAAAAAAGGAGAGGGAAGAGGGAGGGGAAAGGATGACGGATATATTTAGGCAGCATATTTGCAGCGTGACATCTCCTGAGATCTTTATGCCATTTTTCCGTGTGTTCCCTCGTCGGCCTGCCCTTCGCTCAGCACCCTCCGGTCGGCCAGAATCCAGGGTGTCCTGTTCCTCTAAGCACAAGGTGATTTTCCCAACATACATCATCTAGCATCGTAGATTGATCAGGGAAGACCGACTCCCCCCGACTATACTGAAATACTTATTTTTCAGCAGGGAAAACGGCCACCAACTTACTTTTTATTTTTTTAAGGGACGTCCCATGATGCCAAAAGGAAGGTTTTCCTTCTGACCTGACGGGACAAGACATCTGCAGACAATCCCACCCCCAGAGTCCGACTGTCCGTCCGTGCACAGCCGGAAGGGGAGGCGGTGGGCGGGCAAACCACTGTAACGGTTCCCTCCCTGCGCGGCTGTGCGTTCCCTCCCGTCCGGCCAGAACCGTGGGGGCGCATGCCCAGGTGCGTCGGGCACGCGGGTGGCACAAAGACTGGTCACTGTCATACCGTCGGTATTGTAGAAAACTGAGCGAAACTCTAGTCCCTGGATGTTACCGAACTTGCCAAATGTAAGAGCTTCCGAATTTAGTCAGGAAAATAAAACTCGTTCGTTATGATGTCTCCATTAGCTGGGGAATGAGGAGGGGGAAAGAGGGGCTAATCGGAGATGCTTGGGGATAAGATATTCCATTTAGAAAACTCGAAAGTAATATCCCTAGAATGTCCTGGTTCTATAGGGTACGTCTGTCCATAGTTGGCCCAAGATAAAATAGTGTTGATTTTTTTAAAGAAAATTAATAAAAAAACACTAATTACTCCCACTTCTGAGGGTACTTAGAATTTACCAAGCTATGAATTGTTTAGATTCAGTGGTTTAGAATTGTCAAATGAATTCCTTCTGAATTCTCTATTCGCCCTAAGCTGTGTCTTAGAGAAAGGAAATTATTCCAAGCTTCAGTGAAATCAAATTACCATACATTTGGTGTTCCAGTATTACAAATAGACAGACCAAAAAATGAATCACCATACGTGTCAGAAATATTTACTAATTCTATTCTTCTACACACAGAAGTAAATCTAATGATGATACAGTAACATTAACAGTCAGCCTTAAAGTCTGTATGGGCCAGCCAGTTCGAGTTGTACGGATAGAAAACACAACAGAGGTTTCACTACAACAAACTCATCTTCCACAAGTTTAAACAGCATGTTTCTATGGAACCACATTTCATCAGAGCCCTCCTGGCAACAAAAGAAGTCTCTAGAAGTGTGAAATGCGTGGCGAAGATCGATATACTTTTGCTAACTACGTGCTAGTTGCCAGCTCACCTTCAGAACGCGCAAACGGCAAGGATTTAAAACATCAACATGGGGGCGATCCCGAGATTATTCACAGGAGGTGCTCCCGTTCAGGACACAGCACTGTCGGACGGACCAGAAGGGCTGTTGTAGGGGTGGCCCCCGGGGAAACCGGCACCAGCACCAGCACTGCATCCGGTGCAGACCTCCCACGGAGGCTGAGGAGGCTCCTGGAGAGAGCGGGTCCCACGGGTGGGGGAGGAAGGGCTGCCTGTGGTGTTCGAAGGGGCTCCCTTGACGACACCCTCAGGGTTTTTTTTTAAGATTTTATTTATTTATTTTTAGAGAGGGAAGGGAGGGAGAAAGAAAGAGAGACAGAAACATCAATATGCGGTTGCTGGGGGCCGTGGCCTGCAACCCAGGCATGTGCCCTGACTGGGAATCGAACCTGTGATGCTTTGGTTCGCAGCCCGCGCTCAATCCACTGAGCTACGCCAGCCAGGGTCAGACCCTCAAGTTTTAAAAAACTTTAGTGTGGTGATACTGTCACT